GAAAAGGGTGAAAACGTGGCTCTTTGAGCAGGTGTTTGAAACTTCAGCATGATCAAATAAACACAATCTGGAATATGAATACGGAACGGCTAAAGATGATGTAAATGGATGAGGAAATGGATTGAAGACACTGTTTTTATAGACTTTTATAGTTTGTTTATAGTTGTTATGGTCTTTATATGCATTTAGGTTTTGATTTAAATTGTTTTAACTGACTCATGTATGTGTTTATATACGGCATCTAATTGTTGCCGGTTTGTACGCCGCCCTGAGTCGCCTTCGGGATGAAATGGGTGGGACAAAAATGATGTACACAAACAAATATATGGCATCTAATTGTTGCATCCGGAGTTGCCTTTGGGATGAAATGGGCGGGACAAAAATGATGTAAACAAACAAACAAATAAATAAATAAATAGTGTATACAATTCAGATTGCTTCCTATATTATATATGTGTGTATTGGTATGCAGTTTTCCTTTAACTCCACGTTGTTTGAGGTTGTGGGAGGGATGAGATCTGGGACTATTCAGACTGAGACTCCATTTTAGAAGTCAGTGTTGTGTTAAGTCAGTGTGGTCAATTGTGTTGTGTATTGTATAGTCGGTGTTTGTTAAGCATCAGACAGAAAAGGGACTGAAACAGAATGCCTCGGAGAACTTACTGTTTACACTTTCAACTAAGCAATGGACCTGAATGCTGAATACACGAAGTTTGTAAGTAAACCAACAATGTTATTTTTAACAAATACTAGTTATTTTGTCTCTTGAGAGCATGATCTAAAACCAAATATATTTTTATGGGAGAGAAGATGTTTTGGGCAACTGAAAGATCTGCTATATATTTTTGTGTATCTGCCGTAGTCTTCGTTCCTAACAGTTCAAAGAGATAACAACCAGGTATATCAGTCTAACAACTGAGAAACCTAATTTGTCTTGCCTGAATACTAATGGATATATGCCACTAAAGAGAAGACTCACTCAAACGAGTTTTTAGCTCTTTTCAGGAAGATCCTACTTTACAAAAGGTTATGGTTTTCCAAATGGTGTGAATCGTAGAATCCTAGAATCCTAGAGTGGGAAGAGACCTCCTGGGCCATCATCCAGTCCAACCCCATTCTGCCAAGAAGCAGGAATATTGCATTCAAAGCACCCCTGGCAGATGGCCATCCAGCCTCTGTTTCAAAGCTTCCAAAGAAGGAGCCTCCACCACACTCCCTCCGGGGCAGAGAGTTCCACTGCTGAACGGCTCTTACAGTCAGGAAGTTCTTCTATGCTTTTGATCCTTTCTGTTTCTGGCCTCTGGAGGTTCTACTCTAAAGAGAGTCTGGGGGAAGCTCCTTCCTTGGAGGCTTTTAAACAGAGGCTGGATGGCCACCTGTCGAGTGTGCTTTGGTTGTGCTTTTCCTGCATGACAGAAGGGGTCGGACAAGATGGCCCATGTGGTCTCTATGCTATGAAACACGGCTGTATCTAGAGGAGCCTCTGGGGAAATCGACCCCTTCTTTCTTACCAGCACTCAAGGATTGGAAGTCAATGAGGGATCTATTGGGAGGAAGCGGTTTTGGCAATGGGGAGTCCCTCTGGACTTGGAGGAGCCAGGAGGCCATACGTACGTTGGTGCCTTCGGTGGCCAGGATCCCTGGGTTGCCAGACAGGTCCAAGGAGCACAAAGTCCTTCTGAAGAGCTGGTTGGAGGCGAGAGAGAGGCCGAGGGCATTCATTCCTGCAAAGAGAATGGAGGAAACATTCCGACGAAATGGCTGAGGGTGCGCATGCTCTTCTTATGTGAAGCATCAGTGTTCCGTCTTCCAGGAGCATGGTTTATGTTGCCTTTTGGCTGCATGGGAAAGCATCCCTTTGCATTTCCCGAGGCTGGCTGCAGACCCAGCAGCACCCTGGAAGGTCAACAGTATCAGAGCCTGGAAAGCCAGGCTGCAGGCCCTCTGCAGTTACTGGTTTAGAAAGTATCTCTTTGGGTTTGGAGACTGCCCTTTTTCCTGGG